CTTCTGTAGCAGAAAGATTTTGTATAATAAGCTGGACACTGAAATTGTGAAGTCATGAACAATCTAAAGCACAGTAATGCCTTGTGGCAGAAACACTTTCATTTTCCTCCTTCCAAAGAACCAGAATGTTACTTTGCTTTTTCTCAAATCACAGCAGGATTTTAAGGGTGGTTCTTCTATTGATTTTTTGCATATCTGCTATGCTTTGCAGATATTTCTTTTGATGTGTGCTGTGTTCTGCTCCTGTGGGCTGGTATATTAATAGTATTTGATTTTAAGCACTTTCATGAATCATGTTGCCAGCTACATTTAGCTGTTCCTATTACAATACATAAACCACCACAAGGCAACCAAATGCTATTCCTATCACAATACATAAACCAAATGCTGTGGTAATGGAGGTCAGAAATAAAAATTAGGGGAGGAGATTGAAAGATTTGAATCCTTAGGACATCACCTTACAAAACATAGATCTGTTACTCACCTGTGCATCAGTTCTGGCAGTATATATGAACAGTATGTGTATTTACTTCATAGCAACATTTTTCAGGCTTCCTGATTTAATGATTGCCAATGGTTGGAGCAATAAATCATTATTAATATGTTAAATTTGTCACTGTTATTGACAAATCCACTGAGCAAAGCACAAGGAGTAAAATGTTGATAGGTAGGGAAGAGCCGTTTAGATGTACAGCAGTATCCCTTGCAGTAAAAAAGCCTTGAGCAGGATGAAAAAGCAAAATGAGGCTTCCTTGCCCTAAGGGAATGACTCTGTGTTCATCTCTGGTGTGACCAGTCACTTTTTAGTGTCTCATCATTATTCACTGGGTTGGATCACTGCCCACAGGGATGAGTTTATGGGTGCCCTGGAGTTTTGTGTCAGTGGAGAGCGATGTGCTCTGCTCCCTCAGGGCTGCACTGAAGGCAGCTCTCACGGAGGCACTCTTACAGGTTTTATTGTTGAAGAGGACAGTGCCAGCAGCTCTTAGCAAGGCTGCAGAGTGCAGGCGTTGTGCTGCTGCCAGTCAGCGTGAAGGAAGATGAAGGACAACAGACAAGGAACAGGCAGCCAGAAGAGGAAAAGCAAGGCCTTAGATGGAGAAACAGCAGCAGTCACCTACTTCTGTGGCTACAGATGTAATGATTTTGTCTGCTCTGTTGCAGTCTGAGAGCAATTCTGTCATCAGGCCTGAATGTTTTATTCTGAAAGACAGATCCTTGTCCTGACAGTGGTTCTGAGCAAGTAGGAACAGGAATAATGCCATAAGTGTCCTTGATATCCAATCCCCTTACACATCAGTTGCAGCAGTGGCAAGCTATGGCATCTTTATTTGCATTTCTAGCCTCTTTGCTTCTTCGATAATGCCAACTGACACCTTTTTTTTATTCCCCCACCCTGTTATAAAAGCCCCTTTCCTCAGGAATTTTTTATTTACTCTTAGTTTGATGAAAGCATAATAGTGTTCCTTGAGCTAAACCACACGGCAGCTTCATCCCCTTACAGCTGTGTAGAGCCTCAAGCTTACAGATGCTGAACACTGCTGGAGCTTTTCCAGGGACTTCAGTTACTTCAACCCTTTCAAGCTCTTTATAATGCTGCCCCCAGCTGTACTCCTTGTATATATTGATCACTTTCCTTCCGAATCATGCTGATATTAGCAAACATTGATTAATAACATTTACATTCCTTTCTCCTTAGAGTTTTAACTCACTATTTAGTGTTAGTTTCTAGTTATGACTGAAAGGAGCTCAGCAATGTCAAAGTTACTACATTTCTCATGCAGGAGCATCATGATGGTGCTGTTGATCATCATTACTCATCAGTCCTGAGCTCCTGGTTGATGCTTCCTGATTCCCAAATGGTTATAAGCAGTATTGCTTGTAAAATGCTTCATAAGATCAGAACTATCAATCACTCTTATCTACTAACAGGTGATTCACAAGAACCCCTCAGCAGAGACCCCAAACAGCCTCTATAAGAGAGATTTTAACTCTGTATCTTGTATTTTTCAGATCCATTCCTGAAAAAAACAATATAACATTATAAAGCACAGGATCTGTGGAGCAGGAGATAATGGACAATTAAATATAAACTCATTACAGGCAATAAAGAGCCGCACTCATTTGTTACAAGACCAAGTTCTGCATATGAGCACTGCCCTCTGCTGCTCAGGGATTTCTGTTAAAACAGAGTTAATTAAACAAGTTTCAGTATTTGTTTTTAATTAAAACGTTGATACAGGTTTGTCTGTGAGAAACCAGCCCTCGAGCTTCTTGCTTTAAAGAAAAGCCCTTATTTATCACTTCTTGCAAACACAAACCACCTGTGTTCTTACAGTAGCAAAGCAAACTTGGTTTTTGTCAAGCATGTAGAAGATGCATGAATCTTCTCAGGCAGAGAAGTGGTAAAGGAAAACATACTTTTAAGCAATTACAACTTTCAGATCTAACCTTGAAATCCTTCATTCCAAATTGGGACCCCAGGGAGACAAAGGAATAGAATGATTTCAAGTTATGAAGCTGCAAAAGAGCACCTCTTCCCAAAAGGAAGGCAACAGAATTGATCCAAGATACTTCCTGGTGACCCCCACTGCTAATGATGACATCTGGGCTCCTCAGCCAATGGACAATTTCAGCACAGCCCCAACCAATTGGGGAAAACGAAGCACTAGAAATAGCCTCTGGGTCAGTTGGGTTCCTTTGTGTTCTAGAGGAGGTTCTGCTTCTCTGAGGAATAGTGCCTTTTGGTTGAGAGGAGAGCTTGGAAGCAGTTTGCTGCTTGGAAGCGATTTGCTACTTGGAAGCATTTTGTGCCTTTATTTTTTGCATATTTCAGGTAAATATTTTTAGCATTTTTTTTTCATTGCTTTAATCTTAGGGATTTGTTGGTATTAGCTCTTGTGGTGCTTTGATGATGTATTCCTAAGTAGGTGTGAGTAATGGATTATAGAAGAATATTGGCTAGAAGCAGTGTATCTGCTTTAACTATTAGTTTGGTTTGGAGAGCTCTGTTAGCCAAGTTAATGCATGTTCTATAGAGCATGTGAATACTTTCATTGCAAGCAAACTATCATGTGTTTTTTCATAAAGATATCCTTCCCTTGTGCTGCGTTTCTTACTTTAAGACACTTGGTTCAGGTGTTAAGCTTTTAAGTTGGAAGACTTCTTCCGTTGTGTTTTTGCTGTGAAGCTTGCTCTGATGTCCATTTAATAAGTGGTAGGGGACTAAGAACTCAGTTGCTGAGGTGGAAAGCAGTAGTTGTTAACAGTTTAACAGCTTTGGTTTTATTAGGGCCTATGAGAGCAGAACTAATGATCTGAAGCTGTACCTGATGAAGTCTCTCTGCTTCTGTGTTCTGAGAGCAAAATCTGCAGTGCAGGCTGAAATATTGCATGTTCCTAAGCTTGCTTAGCTTGCAAATTTTGCTGTGTATCAGAGACTTTCTTTTCTGTATGTTTCTGTGCCACTGTCATAGCTCTTGAGTAACTAGTGTATTAAAGCATAATTTCTGAAACTTTTAGAGTCTTCCATTCCTATTACTGTGGCTATGATGATAGAAGGGAATTCTAGTTGCTAATGAACCTTTCCTTGCTGCCTTTTAGTGTGAGAGGCATATGGTTGAACAAGCTCACTTTTAACATCTCGCTAACCATGTAGTAGTACCTGTAGAGGGTGGATTTGGTAACCCTGGCTTCAGGCCTTGCAGCTAAAATGCTGTGGGAGCTTTTTCCCCTTTCCCTAGATGTACTGTAGTACTTAACTAAGAGAAATAGTACTTCAGAGATGCTACTGGCCTGAGAGCCACTTAATAGCTCTGACTGTGATTACTGCAGAGTAGTTGCTATATAGATTGGTTTTTACAGTGTGCCTATTCTGTAGAGTTAGTTATAGGTAGTTACCTATTAATTATGTGGTGTACCAGCCTTGAAAAACATCTTAAGAGTGTGTACATATTGTTTGTGTAGATGTATGTTTGCCTGTGTGATATTTTGGGTCTGTGTGCTTATAGTACTCAGCTCTATAGCCAGTACATAGTTAGCGCTTCCTTTGGGTGAGTTGACCTATTGAGTTGAGTGGTAAAGGGATTTTTTTCAGGGTCCATACTTAAAAAACTGGATTTGTTTGCATTTACCACTTAATCACATGCGCAGTGACTTCACTGCAGAGGAATTCCTTTGGAGTCATTAGTTAAATTGATCCTGACTGTTGTGTAATTGTATGGCCTTGTGAAAGTGTATTTACCAGACCTAGAAAGGACTAGAAGCAGTAGTTACAACTTGGTTTACTTGGCTGTTACCTTGAGTAGAATGAGAGCTGGATAACTGCAGTCAGTAACTTCTTTAATTCACTCTCTTGCACAGAACCAGCACAGGCAGGAAATGTCTTATCCTTGATTTAAGGACACCTCCTCATAGAAACTAAACTGAATTATTTTGGATTGCATCCTGGAGAATTTCTTTCTCTATAGAGCTGTTTCTATATACTCACTGTTTAATGATCACAAGATTATGAAAAATGTACTGCTACTCTGTGTAGTGTTTGTCTTTAAGCTGACCATTGAGATGTGATGTTTGGGTGTGGCTGTTTCCTGCTTTGTTATGGCATGTCTTCTTAAAATTGGCTGGGGGGGGGGGCAAAGCCTTTCTAATGTTAAAGGCAGAGCAAAGGGCTGGGGATTTATCATGCAGATAGGTGCCAGAAGTTGGATTGGCTCAGCTGGAGGGGGGGTGGGAAGCACAGGTTCTGCCCTCTCTGTTCCTGCAAGCATCTCCCCTGTAAGCTGGCAGAGGGGCTCAGAAACCTCTGGTCTCTTCCCCTCAGACACTAGTGAGGGCTCAGCAAAAGTTCAGCAGCAAAGTACAGAAGCACCAGCCCTCTCATTGGGCTGCCATTCCCAAACAAGCTCAGCTTTGTCAAGACCAGGAGCTTTCTGGAATATGCGTGGGGATGAGAAACAAATAGCACAGCGTGAGTGTTGCCTGACACCGGGAATCCAGCTGACAGCTCTGGCTTGTCTCCTCTCTTTCAGAACAAGAACATGGAGGACAGGAGACCAGCAAAGGAGACAGAGCCCAGGGCTCCTTCTTGCCATCTGTTTAAAAGGAGCATGAGGAATGAAGCAAGAAGACTGAGGACTTTTCGGCGGTGGCCAGCAACCTCACCTGTATCCCCTCGAGATTTGGCCAAGGCTGGCTTTTTCTATCTTGGGCCAGGAGATGAAGTACGGTGTTTTTGCTGTAGTGGTATCCTGAAGGACTGGGCACCTGGTGATTGCCCAGCAGCAGAGCACCGGAAATTCTTCCCATCCTGTAAGTTCATTCGTGGTGAGGCTGTTGGGAACCAAGAGATGCTTCCTGTTCAGGAAGTCGTTGACACTGTGGATGGGCAGGTCGTCAGCCTTTTGCAGGGGATGGACAGTGAAGAGGCAGCCGTGCCCCATGAGCCAGAATACCCAGCAATGGTAACAGAGGAGGCGAGACTATTGACATTTCAGAACTGCCCACGATACGCTGCCATGCATTATCAGGCACTAGCTAGAGCAGGATTCTTTTACACAGGTAGGTGCTCTGGGGAAACGTGTTCAACTTTGATCCAAGTTAACTTTTAAAGGTATTGCTGTGTTTTATTGTTCATACAAATACTTGCAAGTCTGCGTAGCATAGTTAGAAAGCCCGTCCTTCCTTCAACCTATGCTGCTTCACTTGTTGCCTGTGTAGAATTCACTACTATGTTAACTCCTGTTTGGGTACTGAGGGGCCCGCTAATAAGTCAGTTCCCTAACTAGTGGGAGTGGAAGAAGTGGCGTGTTTTAAACAGTTCTTTACTGGCAGAAAAAGTGTTGTTTTTGAGCCTATTTGTTACTTGCACTTCTAAAAGGACTTGAAGCACTTGCTTGGCATGTTTTGTGTAAGCATTGTCTTTAACTGAAGCCTTCTCTTAAAAACCTAAACCTGAATGTAGTCAGTCTGTTTGGCTTTCGCTGGCTGTAAGGACTCTGGGCTTATAGAAATCACAAAGATCCTTTTTTATGAGGAAAACAGGCAATACTTATCATATGCATCTAAATATCAATATATCATTGTTTTTACCCTTGGGAAGGCTTTGCTGCTTAGATAATGTGTAAAGTGGTTGTCCTTGCACTGACCAGTCAGAGGAAATATTTACAGGACATTTAATACTTGATTGTAATTAAATAGGGGAACCCTTCAGTTCTTTGAAAGCTGCTGATATAGTGATAGTTCTGTGTGACTTCTGTATAGAAGAATCTGTTTGTATTTACGCATCAGTCTGAGATGTGGAAGGAAGTGATGGGCAGGGTGCATAAACTAAAGATGCCTTGGCAAAAACCAGCCTCCTCCTCCTGGACTCCTTGCACTCTTATTGAAGCACAACAAGCCTGACCCTGGGGGCTCATTAGACAGCAGCAGTGTGACATGGCACTCCCCTGTGATCACTTGAGCAGGAGAACTCTGGAACTGAGCACTTGGGTTAAGCCGAACTGCGCTGAGATGGGAGTGTTTGGAACACCATGTCTGTGACCCAAACTCGGTGGATTTTACTAATGCTGTTGTTCCATTGCCCTCGAGGCAGGGCATTTGTAGGTAGTGCTTAACTGCGGCTTTAATTGCTTCTCGCTATGCCTGCTGCTGGTTATGGCAGATTGTGGTGAGGAAATGAGTATAGATATAATTAATTACATTTCTAAATGCAGGCAAGAAGGGATTGGATAGCTGTATGCATACATGGGAGTTGTGGGGCTCACATGCAGGCTGCCTGTTAGCTTGTGACCCAGCTCTAGAATCATCTCAACCAGCTGCAGCTCTGGGAGTTCAAACTCTCATCAGGTTTCCTGCCCTATCAACTTGCACAGTGTTGAAGTGTCATGTGCTCATCTGTTCTGTCCAGTAGCCTGTGTTTTGTGCTGAATGTCTCCCCAGGCTCTCATCTAGGGCTAGTAGAGCATACAGCATCTCGGATGTCAAATAATCTCTTAATGTCTCTTTCAGGACAAGGTGGTATAGTGAGGTGCTTTTACTGTAATGGAGGTGTGAGGAACTGGCAGATTGAAAGTGATCCTTGGTGGGAACATGCCAAATTGTTTCCAGGGTAAGTCAGGTTTGGCTGACAATGTCTCTTGTTGCAAGACCAAAAGATACACCATGTGTTTCACACTGATTTCTTCCTTCATAAGAAGGGGGGAAATCGTGAGCCTCTTACTGTTGCTCTTTATGTATGGAGTGGGGAAAACCCATAATACACCATCATTAATGAATATAGCAGCTTGCTCATAACCTGATAGAGCCCTTTGCTTCTAAAATTCAAACTCCTGTTGCTTGAGATATACTGTACTAACGTGTTTCAATCTTTCTGCTTATAGGTGTGAATTCTTATTGCAGTCAAGGGGGAGAGACTTTGTTAGCAGTGTTCAGGAGTCCCTCTCTAACACCCAAGTTCCAGTGAGTCAAGACTTTTGTGTGTAGTGGATATGGGGATTTGGTAAATAGGGGGAGTTCTGAACCCATGCTTCTTTTGTGATCATCATTTTCAGAGAGATTCCAGGGGTCGGACTGGACAAAATCCACTTGCTTCACGAGGTCAGTGCTGTAATGGCATGGTGGTGTCTTCTGTTCAGAGTGCTGTAGTCCTGCTGCTTCTAGCCCCCTCCCCCCCCCCGTGTGTTCTGTATACATGGTGTTTGTAAGATGTTCTGGTGTTCTAGAAGCTGTTTCACTTTATTTCTTAGGAAATGGCCTCTAGCACAAAAGTAAAGCTGCTTGTTCTTGTGAGACGTCTTAGTCTAAGACAAGCAATGTTTTTTCTAGATAGTCATATGATTTTTGGGTGCTTGCCTAACCTTCCTGGCTTGTACATGCTCTTGATGTTGTGTCTATCTGTAGTCTTTCACACCACAGCATTTTAAACATCCTTGTTAGGAGACCAGGGAACAGCTGGGGTCTAGTTGTTTATGAAAGTATTGATCCTGGGGATTATTTGCATTCATCAGTTGTTCCTGGGAATTGAAGTAGGTGAAATTTGGCTTCCGTAACTGTGGAAAACTGATATTCCTCATCCTCTTGAAAACCTATCCAAGAGGATGAGCTTAAGACTGAGTCCTTTGAATGGACTGACAGTTGAATTTTGTGCTTTTGTCTCTACTGATGAATGGTTGAGCCAGATATGAGGTAGGAGATACTTCAATTGGGATGTTCCACTTCATCTTCATGAAAGCAATTTTGAGACTTCTGGGATGTGAAAACAAAGATAAGGCTTCTAGACAAGGGCTAAACACGGGAGACTTGGTTCATTGGTACAGTAGAATAAACCATCCAAAACTAGTCTCTTGCCTTTGAAACTCCTTTTGACTTCTTGTGAGTTGTGTTTGGAAGTAAAAACTAAATCTGGATGTTGCTCTAGCTATATAGATAGCTTGAGGAATGTTCTAGATCATATTAATGCCATTTGATTTAAAACAGCCTCAGGCTTCAGCTACTTTTTCCCCACAGTTCAGCCTTTTTGGTAAAGTATCTGTTCACTGCTTTACAGAAACTCTGAGGAGCTTGATGAATCAGGCTCTTCACTGCCTGGATGAGTTTGTCATAATGTATCATGTCATTGAGATGGGCTTTGACCTCATAAGCGTGTGTAAGGCGATACAGAATAAACACGTGATGACTGGGGCTTCCTACATCTCCGAGTCTGAGCTGATTGCTGATGTGCTTCAGGCAGTCAGGGAGAGCAGCAGTGCAGAGAGCAGAGGTATGCCTCACACCCACATACCTGGGGGTGCTTAACCTCTATTTCACTTCACCTTGTGTGTCTTGTGGGTCTGCCTCCTCTCTTCCTAAACTGGAATTAAGAGTAAAGGCCTGCCTTTGTTTGAGAGGCTGGGAATGAGGTTCTGCTTTAAAGAAACCTGAGGGAGCTGTGATTACTGGAGTTATCAGTAACTATATCTGCCTGCAGTGAGCTATGGTATAGATAGCCTCAATGTTTTCTGCTGCCCTTAGGCTTGCTGTAGCAGACAAGAGAGGAGGCTTGTGTGCAATTTCACACCTGATGCAATTGGCTGAAGCAAGACCTCCTGGATAAGTATTCCAAGCCTATTTAAAACTGAATCAGTGACTTATTTAAACAAATATTGCTATTTGTGATTAATATATATTCTCCTTATCTGTGTCTGTCTTACCTGTGTTGTGGAGTCAGCCAAGTGAAGTTTATTTGAAGATGCAGTTGCACACAGGCTTTCTCTGGTAGAAAGTCTGCTTTGCAAAGCTCCTGTCTCTGTATCGTGGTCTGCTATTTCTTTAGCTAAAGGAAAAATAAACTCCCAGACAAATTTCCACAAATCAGAATTGGGATTAAATAGTAGCACAGGAGCAGTAATGAGCAGCTGATGGCTCCTGTCTGACAGATAAACTAACTTTGAGGAAACAATGGGGTATGGACATGTCTTGGTAGGGAGGTTAAGTGTGCATAGTGATGGAAGCACCACAGAGAACATCTTCACCAGGCTCTGTGTGAAGTTAACAGTAAAGGGGCTACTGAAGTCAAGAGTATTTCCTCTTTGTAAACAGCACTGACATCTTCTTTCCTTGTTATACAGGTGCTGCTCAGGGGGAGGCTGCAGCATCAAGTTCAAGAGAAGAAATGCAGTCTGTGCAACAGAGAGAATCAGGTGCACTGGGCTGACAGTGGTGGTGAAATTGAGCCTAGGCACAACTGGGATGGGTTTTCTAACAGTGGTATTAGTGATCATTATATTTGGTTTTAATGCTGAAGGGAAATGTGTGTGAACTTGAATGGTAACTGAGCAGAGACCCTTATTCAGGGTTTAGAGTTCCACTGTGATGGAAAGTCATATTAAAACTTAAGTTTATCAGGGTAATTTAGGATAATTTACACACAGTGGTAAAACATTGCTGGACTGAGCAGGGACAGATCATGTGTAGGTAAAGCAGACTCTAGAATAGCTGTAGCTTTACAGCTTAAACAAAGCTTGTGTGAGAGGTACTTCTGCCATCTTAAGTCAGTCTCTGAATGAAGTGCTGAGCCACTTGCAGCATGACTGCCTAAGATGTCAGGACAGTCCCTTTGGGGCTGTTAAAATACTAAAGCTTGGGCTTTTCTTTCTTTTTCTGGGGAAAGATGAGTCTCGGCCGAGCATGGAAGAACAGCTCCAACGCCTGCGAGAGGAGAGGATGTGCAAAGTGTGCCTGGACAAAGATGTCTCAGTTGTGTTTGTTCCTTGTGGCCATCTGGTAGCATGTAGGGAATGTGCCTTCAATCTGAGGTTGTGTCCTATCTGCAGAGCAGTCATCCAGGACAGAGTGAGGACTTTCATGTCCTGAACCATGATGTACCAAAGGGGGAAGAGAAGTCCATATGACCCATTCATAATGTAGCAGAGGAAGGAACTAAGCAAATAGTTTGATGCTGGAGCAATCCTATTTGCAGGGTAGATTGGCATAAGTGTAAAACCTTACCAAATGTGCTTCCTATGTGTGCACAGTGTTTCTAGTAAGAGCTGCTCATTTGCTGTAGTTGTGCTAATCCTGTTGTAGGACTGCTCCAGAAAAACTCTGCTGGTTCCATTTGTCTTCCAAAAAGAAGCTTTTGTTGTTGGATTCTCCTTCTCCAAATTCTGGCATTCTCACATGAATCCCTGCTCTGTGTTGAAATCAAAGGCTGTTTTCAGTAGGCTCTGGTTCTTTTTCACTCACTTAAGCAGTCGTTCAGAGGTTATTTTGCTAGCTTTGGTGGCTTCCTTCAGTCAGTCAGAGTCAAACGGCTGCACCTTTATACAAAATGTGTTCCATTGCTCATGAGTATTCTAGTCTCCATGTATTGTGTGGGAAGGAGAATTTAGCTTTTCCTTCTGAGCTCTTTGCTGTCTTCCCCCCCTTGTTGAACTGTCAATACTTGACAGAATGCTTCAGTAATACTCAAATCTGCGTAACTGTAAGTGAAAAGCCTGGCCTTTTCAACCTCTTTACTCTCAGCTGACTGCCCCAGACAGAAGATGACAGCCTCTTTGATGGTCAGGGTCACTAGATGATCTCCTGGGAGCTTCTTGGAGCTCTTTCCTGTCTGGTGGGTACTATTCTCATAGAAGGTAACTATGGAAACTTACCTTTTTAGGACATCTAGTTGTTGGCTAAACTGATAATTCTTGTTTGAAATAGAACATTCTATCATATAATCAAAAAGAGGAAGTTTTGTCAATTTGTAGTTTAACTTCAGGGGAAAAGAAATAAGGCTTTTAAAATTAACTGTTTCATGGAATAAAGTTGTTCTTTTGTTTCTCAGAGCTCTGAGTATCTGATTTTAACATAATGCCCTACTGGGGAGGGAGTATGATGGTGGCCTGAAATGTTACAGCAGCATCAAGTTGTAGATTGCTCCTGTCCTTCAGTATTAGATGGGCATGAGTGAGAGAACTGTTCCTACCATCCATTAGCTTCTTATGGAATTCACAAGGCAGCATCTGGGTCCTCCAGGTTACCTGAAGTGCAAAAGAAGGTGTAAGGGTGCAGGAGTACATGAAACTGTGTAAGTGGGGAATAATTCTGCATCTGAACTCCATGCAGAGTTTTGGTACATAGCTCTTAAACACAACTGTGGAGACTGGAACACTGCCTCTTGAATTACTTCTCTTTTGTTCCAGGCCTGGATACCTAACAGGGTTATAGGCTTTTTGCTGAGTACCTTTAAGGTGTTAGTTATCCTTGGGCTATGTGGAAGGACATATCTTGCCTTCAAAAGAAGGTAATATTAACGCAGCTCTTGGCAAAGAGGAGAGAAATTGAACTCTCCAGCTCTTGGAGGAATTAATTTGTGAGTCTTTGCCAGGCAGCAGCTTTCATAGGGAACAGAATTTCATCACTGTGCCAGACTAGGTATTGTGCCTGGGTGTATGCTCTCACTGGCTTTATTTTGCCTATAAATAACAAAAACAGTTTAAGCAGAGGTGCTAATCTGATAAGGGAAAACAAAACCAGCTCAGTGTTGGAATAGTGTTATTGCCTCCTAATATTTAGCTCAGTGTGGCTGGAATCTTGCCTGAGCATCACCAGGGCTCCAAGGCTTTGAATGTACCGGCTGTTTCTGGTGATTCTTTCATATAACACTTTTGAAAATTGTGACTTTTCCACATCTGGAAGGATGGAGCCTTTTTCTATGAGAAGTTTTCCCCTCAGAAATGTGGTTTTGGCTCGAAGTATCTCAAGTGCTGCCTATCCCCAATAGAGGGCCCTCCGAACATCGAGATAAGGGAACCCCCTGGAGCAAGCCTTCGGCTGCTCCTTGTCCTCAGAGCACACTGGAGATGCGAGTCTCTCCTTTCCCAGAACAGGGTCATCGCATGACCTCACAGCACTTAGGGTAGGTCTGGCACAAGCAGGCCAGGAGGAAGTTTGTCACAGCAACAAAATCTGTTGCTTCTACTGTCTGAAGGAAGGAAAAATACCTCCAGAAGCGATAATTACTTGCAGCTTTACCTGATTAGAACTCAGGATGTCATGGTTGCAGTGGGTATCTGGAAGGAAACTGGCACATGAGCAAAAACAGTTCTCTCAGTGCTTCTACTCTTGGGTTTATAAAAGAGGATTTTGCTTCCAGGGCTCCTTTTGCAAGAAAGGTGCATCTTCACCTTAGTACTTAATGGTTTTTTCTTTTAATTCTCTTATCACTCCTCTCCCTAGCTCTTCTGAAAAGCACCACTCATGCCAAGCAATCTCAAATAGATCAGGCAAGACAAAGAATTACAATGGTACTTGGAATGTACCAGCCAAAGAATGCCACAGATGGTGACAAGTGCTCAGTCTCGGCTTGATGCCTCACATGCTGGGAGATGAAGCTAAAAAAAACTGCATTGTTTATTGTTTTATTAATTGCTGCAGCTCATTAATGCAACTTAATTACACTTATATTCCCCCTTTCCCTCAGCCCATTCCCTCCCCTCAAAATTATCCTGTCACAAGAAAACCCATCAGGATGGTGCCAGTCTTGTGCCTGGAATAAGAGCGGCTGCTTGGTGAAGAAGGCAGGTACAAAAATCTATGATCCATGAAGAACTAGGCCTCTTCCAGTGTCCTGCAGCAGGCTTCAGCTGTGTATATGGCTATGCCAGTGTTAATTTTATGTAGATGGGCAGACCCAGAGTACGTTACAGTTGCTCTGAGAATGGCTTGGCATGTTGAAATGGGGCGAAGCTCCATGCTGAGTAAAGATTTGGTGGTTGTGCTAGTTTTTAGCTGTTCAGCATTATAGGAGTTAAGTCACTGAACACTGGAATCCAGGACAAATACCTACTGCTAAGGTGCTGACCATGTCTAAAGAATAGAGAATGAGGAAGGGAGTCCTGGGTGGGGCAGGGGAGAAGGGAAGAGTTCTCATCTATAACTTAAACCCCAAAAAGCCTAAAGAACTCAAATGTAAATAGCCCCCACCTAGTTCTAGCCAGGCAGGGAGAACATGAAGTTGTGTTAGGGGTTTTAGGCTCTTTTCAGAACAAGGGGAAGAAACTAACTACAGAACATATGAAATGTCCCAGGGTATTATGCAGTGCTTCCTCCTTTATGGATCCATGGCACAAGGAAGCAGCTCCAACTCCACCTGTATCTCTTGAGAGAGGCTCTTGGTGAACATGTTCTGCTAGAGGTCTTCAGGCCTGTGCTGTTTGTCAGCTGGTACCACCAGACTATGGTAGGAATGGTTCATCAGGGCACTTGGAGAATTAAGCCCCAACCTCATGGCCATTCTTCAATGTACATTCATTGCAGTTGGAAAGAAGACAAGGAAAACAAATGGAATGGAGTTCACCATCCTGCATTTCCTCTGCCAAAGATCCAGGCCACAGGGCATTGTTTCCTGCAGCACCTTTGGAGTGCAAGGTTTATCCATCCTCTGGATCCTCTTTACTTATGCAGGCCTGTAGGGAAGGGAAAAAAGTGAAGGCAGGGAATCAGTATGGAGCAAGTACTAAGTTGATTACTTAAGACCATAGAAATGGTGTCAAAATAATTAAGACACTTTTTTCCTTTCTTGATTTTAAATATGATCGACTACAGATGAGGAGTAGGATTGAGAGCTCAGAAGTAATGTGGTTAAGTACTCTTCAAGTCTGGGAAGAACGCTACACCAGACCTGAATGTACTGCAGTTAGACTAAGGAATAGATAGGAGCTAAAGTGTTAGATGTATGTACCCTCAGCATTCAGAGCTACCTAAAATTTGGTTAGGAATTTTAAAAGCTATGGTTTGTCTCTAGAATCAAGCAGCTGCTTGGAGTTGCAGTGATAATGCTTCTTGTGTAGGTGCAGCAGTATGAGCAGATCTACTGTAGCCAGCAGTGAAGATGAGTGAATGTTTTCAGCTGAAACATCACCTCTTAAAGATGCAGCTTCAGGTTGGTCAAAAGAGTTTGCAAACTCATGTTGGTATTCAGCAAATTGTTTGTTTGGGCAAATGTCTACCTAGAAAGAAAATCAGAATCACTTTGTGTGTTTTCTCTCCTCAAACAGGCTGGATTTTTCCTATGCAGGTATAAGTTTCCTTTGTAAAGTATTGTGATGATCAAAGTTCACAAGGAGTGGAGGAAAACTAATCCTAAAGGAGTTCCCCCTTTCTCTCCCCTAGTGTTTCAGACTGGATTTTGAATGTAAGAATGTTGTCTGCCTGTTCTTTGGTCTATTGAAGAGCCTACTTTTAATCCATAACTGGATCCCTGTTGTATGGGGTGTATTCCTTTAATGCTGCCTATGGCTACCAGACTGCCCCACAACAGAATTGATCAGGGAGTATTAAAGTGAGCAATTGCCAACTGGAGCCTGAGATCATTGAATTAACCCACATCTCCTGTTGCTGCCCTGTCAATACTGAAGTCTACAGCTGATAAAAGTCACACCCTTTGTTACCATCTTGCCCTTTCCACTGGCAGATCTGAGGAAAGGGAAGTTGGTGAAATCTGGCTATGCAACTAAATTCAAAGCTTTTAAGCCATTAATGTAGTATTTGAGGTGTCGGGTCTGAGTGTTATGGGCTGGAGCCTCACAACTGTGCAGTTCACTGCTTGGCCTTATAGAGAGTCTTAAACAGCAGGAAGAGCTATTGCTCATCTCTACCTCTTAAATAAACACAGACTACCTCCTGTCATCTGGCAGGTTCTTGATTTAGCACTAAATCACATACAGAATCATGCTTTGGGGCTATTCTGCTTTATAATTGAGATTGCACAGGGCTTCTTTCTGAAACCAATCAGAGAATGATGTCAAAAGCCTGAATGGATGCAGGAGGCAGGAAGTACTGACAAATGATCCTGATGTTCTGGGCCTTCTTCTATCTTGGCAAGTACCTGCTGGATACCGGGAGATAACTTTGAAGTGTCTGACTAAAGCTGTTTTCTTGGTTAACCCTTCCACAGTTCTGAGTACAAGAAAAGCTTCCTCCCCTCAAATGATGTAGAAACCTGTTGATTCTTCTAGTGCAGGTGAAGAAAAGCAACCCAAAGCTGATAGCCTGTCCTGTGTAGCCTAAGAGAGGCAGTGATGCAAGCAGTCAGGGCCTGAACTTGAGCTTTAGCTAAGGGAGGGGTAAGAGCCTTTCCTTCCTAAGAACTCATTGGAAACATTCTCTTTTGGCCTTAGGAGAGTACTTTTGGCTTGCAAGATGTGATTTATTATCCTTTAGCCAGCGCTTTGACCCAGAAACTCATGCAGTGAAGACTTTAACGTAGCTTCTATCAAGATTCCTAATGCATTATTAGTAAATGATTACTGCAGTGCCTTGGCTGGGCAGCAGCAGTGAGATTAAGGTAATTCTATTACATGGTAAAACTTGCAGAGCAATTTTTTTTGCTGATAATTTTGAGTCTCTGTTATTTGACCTTGTGACTTAAATAGGAACTGTCACAACCAAACCCTCTGGAGCCAATGAAATGTAGAACAGAAGCAGTTGTGGAATTTACAATAGAAATAACAGTATGTATAAACACTGTTGTTGCTGTATGAGTGCTGGAGGTGCTAATGGTGATGAAGGACATCTAAATCATGCTGTTGCAACAACACTACAAACCTGTTGGTTGATTTTTGTTGTGGCTGGCTTTTAGCAAAGGAAAACCACCACCTGACTTTGTAATTCCTGAGGTTTTCCACCAGCTGGAGCCTTGCAACTGAAATCAAGGAGGTCAGTGGATTACCATGGTAAAACTGGGAGATAATAGGTACTTCCAGCCCACAGTCCAGTTATCAGTAGGAGTTTGGGGACATGTTTTTCTCCTCCTGGTAGGAGTAGCACAGGTATTTTAAAACCTCTTTCAGTGCAGCAGATGGAAGCTGGAGGCCAGAAATGGGGTGTACATTTTGAATACTGAGTTTAGGAGCTGATAACCACTGAAGTAGGAAAGCAGCAGTTTCCCTTTAGTATCTTTGAACTGCTACAGTATATTAAAAGTTCTCTCACTCATAGGTTGTGTGCTTGATCCAGAAGTTATGGAGAGTGGTCTTGGTCTTAAGCTGTGTTCATGGGTTTAGATCAGTGTCCTCTGTGAGGCTTTTAGATCTATGAACATCCATATTGTTGGAGAGACTAGGGAAAAATGTAAGCCAGGACAAGGGAAAGGGCACATTGCAAGGAGAGGGAGGGCATGCTCTCATCAAGCAGGACAGATAAAACTGGAGTGATAGGATAATTCCATTAGGGAATGAAGGAAAGTGATCCTGTTGTTGTGGCAGCAAGGCAAGTGCGTCACTGGGAGAGCAGCTGACTGCACAGTGGGTGATGCCATCCTAAAATGAAAGTCAGTGATTGCAGTGAGCTCCAAGTTAGTAGCTGCAGAACAGATTTGGGTTTATTCATATTTCCCTCAACGAGAAGGAATTCAAACCACAAAGCCCAGATTCGTGAGCTAGAGCTCTTTGATAAATTGAAGCTTGACCTCAATGCCCCGCACTGCAAAACTCGGTGGCATTGTGCGTTCAAAATCCTCCTCTCACTCCCATTCATACACGTGGAAGAAAGGCAAGAGCTGGGCTGAAATAAATACACCAAAGTTGCTCTTTGACTGCTGTGAGATTTATAGAGGGTCACCTTATCTGCTGCTCAGCAGCTGCTTTCACCTCCTGTTAGCCAGGAAGAAATATGACATTGTGCTGGCAGAGGCTGCCAGTAGATAAGTGATGGTCTGAAGAACAACACAATCACTCGTGTACTTTAGTGTCTTACAGTCTTACTGAGACCTTTGAAGTTTCATATTGATAGTTTCTGTTCCTATTACAGCCTCTCCATAGAGAAATCTTCGTTCATTAAGTACCAGCTTCTTTCACACCAGAATGGGTCATTTTAAGGAAGCAGCAGCTCAAACCCCATGCTATATAAGTGTGATGGTTCTTCAGCATGCTGCTACATTACGTTAATAAATCAGGGAGCTGCTTCTAACTCCACAGCTTCTGCAGGCTATGGAAAATTCTATCCCACTGTGACAAAACGAGAGGGAAATAAATCTTTAGTCTCCTGTAGCATAATGCTATAGAACCCCCAAAGTTACAGGGAATTTAACTGCTTTGCAAAAGCTGTGCGCCTCTTGTGCTGCAGTGACAAACTGGGGAGTGAGTCCATTAGATCTGTAGATGTGTCCCTCTAACACCTATTTGAGGACAGTTTTTCTTCCCTGAGCCCCACTTTTCTCCCATGTCCTTATATCCTTCTTTTTGGCAGGACTCTGGTAACATTATTGCCCCAAAACAACCTCCTTTAGCAGCTGCTTTAAAAATGCTTGCATGCTCAACCGCATTCTTGCAGGTAAAGAGTATCAACACAGCAGATTGAATACTGCTTTAGACAGGTAATGCTGGCCTTTATGTTTGAGAATGTCCTAAAGAACCAGCTCTGAAGTGGACAGTGTGAAAGTGAGATCTTGTGTCTTCAGCAGGGGGAGGGATTATTGGAGGGCAAAAGGTGGAATTCAGCACTGGATCTCTGCTGCGGACAATTCCCCTTTCGGCTTCCTGATCTTCCTGATCACCTGAATTTGTAGGGAATTGTGCCCCACACATGGAACCCTCTGTTCTTGTGGGCAACCGAATTTAAACAAAAAGTATATCTGAGGCACCCTGCATACAGACCATCTAATGCTCTGTTTAATTTAGTTCACTGGTGTGTGTCAGCTTTGTACCCCACATGTTCCCTGGAAGCACAGGCAGATACTGGGAGATCTTGTACTCAAGACAGTCAAAGTCTGTGGTGCTGCCATGAGATTACTGGAGGATGACAAAAAAGAGGGCAAGTGATCAAAATTGCATGGATGTATAGGGCTGAGTTCAGTTACGACTGTGCAGAGAGCTTAAATACAGCCTAAATAACTAGATGGTGCATAGATTTTTACCCCAGTAAAGATCTTTTCTGTCTGCCAGACTCCGGTTTAACACTGAGACTGAAAATCACGTTCTGCTATTGCTATGGATTACTTTCAGCATCTACTGAGGCTGACTCTTCCTTCCAGCTCCTTTACCTGCTCAGGCACCATTCACTGCTGAAAAGCCTCTCTTGGCTTTCTTCAAGGAAAAGGCATTTGGTAGTTTGTATGCAATAACATCCTATAGTTGTTCTCAGTGCTTTCCTATCAAACACCACTGCCACAAGCCAAGTACAGAAACACCAGCTTCACCCTGGCAACCTGGGGCTGAGCAGAGGCATTTTCACCCCTTCTGGTGTCCAATTGGTCATTCCTTCCATGCCTGAAAAGCCTGCTGGAGAAATCAACCTGCAAGGAGGAAAAACCCCAAGCCTGTAGCACCCTTGAGCCATCAAACTAAGAGGCACGGAAGCACAGGAGGTGATACTTACAGGTATGTCTGCTTGAACAAAAGGTTGGTGGGTTTTTCATTGACATGGTAGAGAGGAAATGGATCAAATCCACCAATGAAATCAACTGAAAAAAAATCAGAACTCAAATAAACAAACAAACATGGCCAGAAAGTTGAAAGGAAACGAAAGGAGAAGTCGGTGCATGTCATGGTATAACACAAAAATCAGTGAGAGAACAGAGGAATGAGTGTTCAGCTATGGATTGCCTGGGGGGAATCTCTGCCTGTGCAGACCTCTCTTCTGGGATGGGCAAGTGTGCCAAAGAGGAGCTTCAGCTAACATGAGACTTGAAGCAGAGCTAACAAAAGATTCCAGAGAAACCACAGGGGCTCCCTCAGCCTCTCTGGGCATCACCACCATGCTGTGACTTCACATGAGAACCAGGCAAACAAAGCCCCTCAGTGATGGGCTGAAGGAAGGAGCTGAGGAATGATTTGGGAGTGAATGCCAGGGAGAAGCTGGCAGCACAACAACCCCTGTGAAGGTTCTACAGTGAAGTGGGAATTTGCTTGTCCCACTTGTCTTCCCTGCAAGCCAGGCAACGGCAGTGTTGGAAAACTGCAAATCCCTCATTATCCTTAGCTCTGCTATTTTTCATGTCCCCTCTGCCAACTTCATTGGTTTTAATTGTACACAAGTAGGAACAATGCTTCCCTTCTCCACTATTCACAGAAGAGCAATGTCACTAGAGGAGGAAAGGTTTAAATGACAACTCCCTTAGTAACCAGAGAAGAATTTCCCAAATCTCTTAGTTCCCTTGAAATTGGGCCAAGTCTGTATTACTGAGCTGGGTAACATAGCCAGGGCTACAGGGGTGTGAGGTGGTGTGATTTGAGACTGACCTAGCAAAACCCTTTCAAATAGATCCAGCTTAGACCCCTTTTGGGTGCCAAGTTAGTGCATTTTGTTTGGGAGTGTGAAGGCCATACCGTCCTAGTGCCATTTAAAAATAACTGGAGTCACATTAACTACATAAATGCCTGTTGGGGTTTCTTTCCTGCAGGTGGCACTGTGATTTTAAATTCCAGCTGAAGAGTTTGGGTATTTTTCAGTGACCAAACAATAGAAAAAAATAATTACTATACATATAGAAAATGAAAAACCAAACCCAACCCTTGAAACATATTTAGAAGCCCAAGAACAGCATATTCTCATAAATGCCTTCTTGACGGACAGCTAGATGCTGATGCTGTGATTTTGGGACAACTGCCAGTTAACCATAGAATCATAGAATAGTCAGGGTTGGAAAGGACCTTAAGATCATCCAGTTCCAACCCCCCTGCCACAGGCAGGGACACCTCACACTAAACCATAGCTCCCAAGGCTCTCTCCAACCTGGCCTTGAACACTGCCAGGGATGGAGCATTCACGACTTCCCTGGGCAACCCATTCCAGTGCCTCACCACCCTCACAGTAAAGAACTTCTTCTTAATGGGGGAAATCTGTACAGCTTTTAAGCTAACTGGGGGGATAATTCCCCAGTAGTTCCAGTGAGACTTGTCACCTTTTCTCAGCCACTTTGAAAACATTTGAGTATTTTAAAACCAAGAGAGTGTCCAGTTATAAAACCCCAGTTATTAACTATATATTAACTGTATTACCTCTGTTGTGGGATGTCTGAATGAGGGAACCTTAAAGAACTGCAGTTTTCAGTAACGGGCTAATACCTTAAACAAACGAAACTCCTGTCATCTGAGCACTCAACTACGGAAGCAGTCAAAATCCAGGTCACTTCCAAAAGATCTTAACTGGGGTTCATTGCTGCAATATATTACAGTGCATTAGCACACCTAACGAATTCTTGCCCGCAGTTCAGCATGAAGAGATCCCGATTGCTGTGTTTTCTTATGAGAATCACGTTAGCCTGAGCTTCCTGATGAATGTGTCTCAGCACTTAGAATTCCTGCCTGCTGCACAGCAAAGTGATGTTTAAAGGAAACCACAAATGGAAGAGAAAATTAAAACCCAGCTCAAATTTATTCGGGTCACTGGAAGGATCCACCACTGTGAGTGTGAAATATTGATGCTTTGTCATTGTTAATTATTCAAGCTGGCATTTTAACTCCAAGCTGGGAAGCTGGGAGGGAAAAGGAATTTGTTAGTGGGGGGAAGAAATAAGCATCCTGAAAGGAACAGCTTCTGTGTTTCTAGATACTGCTTCCTTCCATGAGGCTGCGTCTCCTAACAGAGCCCTACTGGAAGAATGAGCTCTGTCATGTTATTGCTATTCAAGAGGGGCTCAGAACTCTTTGAGCTAATATATGTTAGCTAATAGAACAGCTATAGGGCAATTTAAAAAATACTACTTGCAATGTAACTCCTTTGCTAAGTGCACTGCCAAGCTCTAAAGAAATGATGCATAGAGCCAGCAGAATGAATTCAGGAAGAGAAAAACATGAGGACCAGTCAGATAAGCAATGCAGCTCATCTCGCTCCTCTGAAATCAACATTCTTCACATACTTTCAGACATTCAGCCCAAAGCTCTTGTTTTTCAGCTAACATCCATGCCAGCTGCTCTTTAAAACACCAAAGCTGTTTGCACAAACTTAATGAATGTCTTCAAGAAGTTATACTTGGATTGAAAGCCTTTGGATCAGATCCTTACCTGGAGTAAACTGGCCTAGACCCACCACATTGCCAAAGAAAACCAGACTTCATGTTTGTTTGAACCCTATGCATCCATTCTTTTCTGAAATTATTGGTCTCAAAGGGAGTTTTAGAAGGGCAAAGGAATCCAGGACCAGGTTATGGATGTCTGCATAGACCCAAGTGATTCCTCTCTTTGCTCTTCTCTGACACATGTCATAGTGAATGTAAGACACTTGAGCGGTGCGTACACCCAGCCCAGCGGAGTCAGCTCCTTCCTCCTCCTTCTAATTCAAATACAGGACTTCCTCTGCTTTGAAATTAAGTGGTCAGCTTGGTCCTTGGCAAGAAATCTCACGCTCTGCTTCATCTGCAGCTTGTGGCATATGATACTCAGCAGGTGCCTACTGAAGCTGTATTCTTTGTTGTAGGTACTCTTAATTTCAACAGTAATAGTGGCACTATTCTTAAACTATATAAGTTTGAGAACAGAAGCTGCCCAGTTTCTCTAAAGCTGAGCCTGAATAAGAAGCCAAAACTAAGCTTTTTTGGTGTGAAAGTGGAGGATAATTGCAGCATCTAACCCATGACATGGAGAGAAAAAATCTCAAGGTAAAACCAGTTAATCCTTGAAAGATAGGTAGTGCCATATCACGTAGATGCAGAGATGGAAAGAAGTCCGGTGGCAGCTGAGTCCTCAGAGACAAACATCTGAGAGAGAGATAGAATTGAATAAAACCTTTGCCAAGGGATCTGGTGGGGAATACTTACAGCTGTCTTCTTCTTCTGTGAAAACACTAACAACGTAACAGGCGTAGACAAAGCCCACCAGCTGGAAAAGAGAGAGAAGAAATCATTTCAGTCTTTTGAGGCCAGTCAAAACCCACTGGACAAGACTTCAACAGCCAATATTTGCCCTTAGCTTAGCAGCATTACTTTAATGGTGGAGCCAAGTCCTGTTTGCTCTAAGGCAGGTGTAGGCTAAGGGAGGACACTGCTGGGGGCACACTACATGCTGCAAGAGCCGCCCTCACCTTCAGAGGAGCCTGTTGTGGCTGGAAGGATTGGCCAAGAATATGGGCTGGCTTTGCTGACACTGAAACTAAGTTTACTCTCTGTAAGAGGTGATGGGGATACAGGACAAAATCTTGTGTAACATGTTAGATAGATGCTTACGTACAGGACAGACACATACAGGGGTAGGTTTTATTAGCCAAGGTCCAGGGACAAGCACTCCTCAGCTCTGTATTCTTGCTACAAGGGGTATGCACGCTAAGATAGAAATGTAGTTAATCATAAAAATGGTGATGTATGGCAGCAGTGTTCAGAGACACTGAAGTCTGTAGTAACTTAGGCTTAGAAATCAAAACTTCATTGGAAAGAAATCCCAGTCTTACTCTAGGTTTCCAGTTTCTAAGGTTCTATTTTGGAGAATAAACACTTCTGCATGGACTAATCAAGCATTGGGCCTGCAAAGTAAATGGGCCAAAGCACAGTGAGAACCAGGCAAAATGATAGCAGTGGTCTTAAGTCATAGATTGCGTAGGTTAGCAGTACATTGCAACCTCCTGGGAAGCAGCTAGAAACAGGGTAGGAGCAGTAAAACAACAGGGTGCCTCTAATAACAGCCATGGTGTGGCCCTCATGTCAACCCCTTGCTCAGAGCAGTCTTTAGAGCAGAAAACTAGAGTGAACATTTAAAAAAGCAATTTAAAGTAGCCTGCTGGGTCTGTCCTTAACTGGTAGTTTTGTAGAAGCTCTGAAGCATCCGAACTGCCTCATTCCATTTCAGTAGCAAGTTGTTACTCAGCCTGAATAGAGAAACAAACTTGTGGTACTATGGGAGTTAAGCATTCTAGATCCAGCAGGGATTTAGTTTGCTTCTCCTTCTTCCTGTTAATCAAATATCCTCTCCATCCTTCATTTCACATCTTTACATAGCACCCCACTTAGCGAGATCTCGGTTGACAGTAACTGCATTAGGGAAGTTATTGTGAGACTTAATTGTTTTCCACTGTGAGCTCAGTTCTTCTGAACAAGAGTTAGAATGTAACATGCAGTGACTCACTCCGAGGGAAGACAGAATGATGCATGGTGGGGCTTGAAAAGTAGAGTCCATTCATTTTTAGTATGACAGTAAAAATACATCACACCAGAAAGCAAAAGGCAGATAATGAGATTTGTGCTGGGGAGTTATAAAGGCATTTGTGAGTTCTCCAGCTCTCCCTGGCAACACACACCTTGTTGGGAGGAAATGGAATGGTTTTGTAGCATCACTAAACCTTGTGTTTCCTTTACTGCTTTCTATAGTCATGTGGAAACCAAGCTGGCACTTGCCTTTCCTTTTGGGTGAGCCTCATGGAATCACATCCTCAGTGGAGGAGAGGTGGCTCTATGGGCCCACTCATTTCCCCGCTGTGCATTCATGAAACCAGGGCTGCTTCATGCTGAGTTCCTATGAGGTACAGCAGTCAGCATGTAAAGATAAGTCTTTCTGGGTGTGATGCTAACCAGGAGGCCACCTGCAATGGCCACTGAGTATAATCATAGAATGGTTTGGGTTGAAGGGACCTTAAAGCTCATCCAGTTCCAACCCCCTGCCAAGTGCAGGGACCCCTTCCACTAGAGCAGCTTGCTCCAAGCCCCTGTTTCCAACCTGGCCTTGGGTAGAATCATTGCTCAGATTAAAAAAAAAACAACAAGAAAACCCATCAGAACAATGAGAGCTTTCTCTTCTCTGCCATCGCTTGTGCCTGGCTGACAGAAATCCCGGGAAGAGTTCCCGTTCCCTGCAGTTGTGGCAGGCTGGGAGGGTTGGGCAGACCTGGCCATGGTGCTGACACAGCCCCCGAGCCTGCTCCCCATTGCTTCTGCCTTGAAGATGTGCCCTGATTCCAAGGGAAATCCAGGAAGGTTTTCTCTTTGCCCAGGTTTTCCATCATGCCTCAGAGTAGGAACTTTGGCTTAACAGCCATGCAAAGTGTTAGCCCTAAATCCATTGACTGTTATTATACTCTGTAACAGGCACCCAAAATGTTCTTTTTTATTTCTCTTTCTAATCCATTCCTTTTTCACATGTGCTTCATCAATACAAACTTGTTTATTTAATAGCACTTCTTATTCAAAGAAGTTTTGGTGCTCTTGTGACCTGGCCAGAATAGGAGAATTTCAGTGGCAAAGAGGGAGGAGGCGTACAACATAAACATGAATTGCATTGTTATAGGGGCTGACCTAAATCATAACTAAACCTATGACCTCAGGGATGAAATGAACTCCTGGCACTCCCTAGGTCTCATCTTCTGCATGAGTTATGAATAGAGCTGCAGAGGGGAAATGCTGCTCCTGTTGTCCACTCATTTTCACTGGAAGAGTTGCTAGAATGCGGGATGGGCAGGCTCCAAGAGGCACCAGCAGCTCCCTTTTGACTGCATCCTTGATGAAGATGTATCAGGCCCCCAACATCACCAGGTTTAGCAGTTATTAAGGTAGAACTGAAAGCTTCAGAGGCCAAGAATTTAGCAGTCACTTCACTCCTGCTCAAAGTGCCACTTGGTTGCTGATTTCTGTATGAAAGAAGGTTTTAAGCTCTACTCTCCCAGGGAAATAGCAATAACTCTTAGATTTTGCAAAGCTCTGTAGGGGAGGTGGAAGAGGAGGGAAAACGTCAGTGATGTAAAATGACACTAAGCTATTGCTCTAATTCCCCAAAGAATGTTCTTGGGATTTAGCCTGTGCTGCTGTTTCTTTACTTGTTCTGCATGTTCAGTACCAGCTTCCTCCAGGCTGCAGAAGTATCCGATTTAGGGTTTTATTAGGAACACATGTTGTAGGCAGGTGTGTTCAGTCAGTCTCTCAGACAGCCTGGGAACACACATGAACAATAAAGGACAGAGCTGGGATGTCCCAAGCATTCTGCAGGCGAATAAACAGCAGGAAAGACAGGAAGAGACAAGTGTGCTCAAAGGGAATGAGGAAATAAGTCTATAAATCCCTGTGTCCCTCAGTCATCTGAAGTTAACTTCTTAATAGCGAGTTGAAAAGTGTTCATAGAGCAGCATCACTGAAGTGCTGGAGCCAGAAAGACTGAATTACAGCAGGATCTACAGAAAGGGACCAACTGGCTGCAAGCGTGCATAGTACACGAAGGATGGGAAGGCAAAGCTTAGCAGGAGGTGCTGCTGCTCGTGTAAGATCTCAGTTTTAGTCTGCATCTGTCCTAGTGAAGATTCTGTGCTCTTTCTCTCTGCCAATGGTTTTTCCACCACAGAGAATATGTGCAGAGTCTCCTCCTTCAGGGCAGGTATATTCTAGGTTTCACTTCTACTCAGTGCTAATGAAGTGTGTGTGCTCTGATCACTGTGAGAGGGGGAAAATGAAGAGATCTCTGCTGCAAGAAAGCAAAAAGCCAGCTGGTGAGAGAGCTCCTGTGACCAGATAGCTAAAAAGAGGCAATCAGAATCCTTTGATTCCTTGACCTTCTTTACTCTTCGGATGCAATTACCACCACTGAAAATCTAGCCTCTGCCAACAGCAAAGCATCACTTGCACATTGCTTCTCACATAACATCTGCTGTCAAGGCTTGTGCTGCCGCCTCCCTGGGAACCTTCCAACCTGTCAGTCTGAGTGAAAACAGCAGACAGGCAGGCAATGAGTTCTCTCTGTTGGAAAGACATTTCCAATTTCCATCCCATTCAATAGAGCCTCAGGAAATGCCCAACCCTCCCCACTCCCAGAACTACCATATGGACAGCCCAGAGCTATGCCAGGTATTGCAGAGCTAGAAATCACTCCTCTCCCAGCTGGCTGGCAAGTCAGGGAGCTGCAGGATGAATCCTTGCTGGGCTAAAAACAAAGCAGATTTCTTCTCTTGACAGAGTAGCTGCTGTTGCATTTCCTAATTGGGTTGGGAGGATTAGTTTTACAGTGACATTTCTGTACCAGTATAGACTATAAGATGTTGTTACAATAAGCTTTTTCCTCCAACAATCTCTGTGCTAAAGCACGGAGAGAGATTTTCATCCTTGGCCCTGCAGCTACTTGTATCATGCATGGTGACTGATATGCCAAAGTTTGATCACATTCCAGATTAAAGGGGTTGCTTTTGCCTGCAAGGAGTACAGACAAGCTCTGAGCAAAAGCAGACAGAGACCTTATGTATCTTCAAATGTATGCCCAGGAGCAGGATACTACAGTCAGCAGGAGTCAGGATGACAGCCAATGCTGCGCTCACCATATGGGTTCAGGTTTGCTTTCCTTCTCCTCTGGCATGCAGGATGGAATTCAGTGAGCCTTACCCCAAGTACACAATATGGCACACTCCAGTTCCTCAAAAGCCTCAAGGAACTGGCATCCCAGAAAACAACCACAATGTCCACAGCTGGGCACTGCATAAAGAGCATGCATTTCACACTGCCATATCTGGAATAAAATAACACCCCCCCACCACACACATACACCAACCAACAACCCCTAAAACCATGAGGCAAAGCAAACTAAAACTACATAAAGCACCATTTTGCCTGTCCCTTGCCCTTCTTAACAGGGAACTGACTATTCCAGTCTCAAATGCATGGCAGACAAGGAGGGAAGTAGGTCATGTCCCTTTCTGCATCCCTTGAGCCTTCAGGTTGGTGGTTGTGGTTTCTGTACTATTGATTTGGTGTCCCTGCCTGTCTGCAGCACAGCACCCGCCAGGCACTCCAGGGAGGACAGCAGCCTGTAATGAAATCTGCCTTAACGTGGGATAAAGAGAACTGAAAGAGATACTGGCAGGGATCAAAGAGTTTGACCCTCAGAGACTAAAAAGGGAGAGAACTGGCTGACTTCTTCCCAGGCAAGGTCTGAGTGAGAAGGCAGGGAGGTTTGTCTGCTCCTTACCTCAGCAAAGCAGGGAGGAAAAGCTCTATTTCTCCCACTAACTCCTGCTGTTCTGAGCATTTCAGAGCCAGCAGGAGTTGCAGACCTGGGGTTTCAATATGTTTCCTGCAGGTAGGAATTGAGTTCACTCAGCACAGCTCAGCCCATATGGCTTTCTTGCATACAAGTATTTTAGTCTCATTCCCTTGTTTTGGGATTCAAAAATCCACTTGGAACTTAAGTCTTAGAAGGAGAGAGAAAATATTTACCTAGATCCTGTTTTATCTTATAGCTCCCTCCTCTGTCTCCCCATCTGGCCCTTTGTGTTGTTTTGCAGATGCACAAAGAATATTGTCATGTGCCTTTGGGAAGAAGCAAAGGAGAAAACATTCCCAGAGATGCTTCTATAAGTCAGTGTGAGCACTTAGCTCAGGGGCGTGTGCTTTAGTTAGTAACCTGCCATAAAACAGAGGTTTGTTCTAAACAAACTCAGGACCATTTGCTGTCTGAACCGCTAGCCTAGGGCACAAGGGCTCTGCCATTGCGCTCAGGTGGTTCAGAAGAATGCTAACAGTGACATACTTCTGCACTTTCAAAGTCTTGACCTCTAGACAAGACAACAGGCTCTATTATTCTAGATAGAATCACAGTGGTTTGGGTTGGAAGAGACCTTAAAGCTCCTCCAGCTCCAACCCCTGCCACGGGCAGGGACCCCTTCCACTGGAGCAGCTTGCTCCAAGCCCCTGTGTCCAGCCTGGCCTTGAACACTGCCAGGGATGGGGCAGCCACAGCTTCTCTGGGCACCCTGTGCCAGCGCCTCAGCACCCTCACAGGGAAGAGCTTCTGCCTAAGAGCTCACCTCAATCTCCCCTCTGGCAGGTTAAAGCCATTCCCCCTTGGTCCTGTCACTACAGGCCTTTGTAAAAAGCGCCTTTCTCATACACATGCATCGAAGCAGCTCTTGACAGTTTAGTGCAGATCATTTTCCCTGCAGGAGAACTATCCAAACATTAACAGCCAGCACACACGCCAGGGAGCCCATCCAACTCAGGAAACAGGAGCTTCTCTGTCTGCCTCGTGTGTGACAGGGCAAGAAAGGCGTTGCAGTCTTCCCCCTCCCTGCAGTTCACTGGGTCACAGATCACTCCAGCTAATAGGAAACGCAGGATCAAGACAGTGGAAAGCTGTACTAAAAACGTGCAAAGAAGTACTTGGCACTCCAGAAGCTTGGAATTCCTCTATTTGTTATCCTTCAGCATTTCATCAGCGCAAGTCACCCTTCCTTTTTAAGCCAAAGCTCAAATGTGAACGTTTCACCAGTCCACGTCCGTTTGTACTTAAAGTCATTCACCACAAAGTAACAAACCAAAGCAGATTAGGAGGACACGGGCTGCTGACTCTAATGCAGCTACAGAATGCAGGAGCACCCAGGAAGGGGGACAATGGCCATTCTGTTTCAGTTAATTTCACAGACAAGTGAGAAGCACTTACTGAACAGTGAACGTTAAGGACATTGAATTACTGCAGAGCACTTAAGAAACCCTCTGGAAGACTGATGAAGGAAGTTGATGAAAACATTTAGTGCATCTATCTGAGGTGTCAGCAGAAAATGCACTGCTTTCTGCTGCCTTAGAGTTTCTTTCATTCTCTGGAGACAAGGAACTTCTCCTTTTTATTTCTTCACAGCAAATGTGCATGTATGTGCTCTGCCACTCGTCATGTGGAGTAAGAGAAATCCTTCTTCAGAAGGTTCTCTGTCCTCAAAACATGAACTCCCACACAGCAGGGATACAGAGTGATTTGTTACTGTAAGGTTGCATGTGGTGCATTACTTCAGGTGTTAGGTTGCTGGTATCCATTTCCAGTTCTTTCCAGCAATATTGTTCATAAGAGAGAACAGGAGAACAAACAAAAAGAACATTTACAGAGGGTTTTGCAATCAGATGATACAAAATGGGGTGGAAAATATGGGCCAGCCTCTGTGCCTGGATAAAAATACCCCCAGCCAAACAGCATCTCCTGCACAAGTGGTACCCAGCAGTGCTCTCAGTGATGTACTCACCGCGATCAGGATCTGGAAGGAGCTGTGCATCACCTCGATGTAGCGGTACTCCAAGGCACAGCCTATCACAGAGATGTAGGAATGGCCATCCAGCCCTTTGATGCCAGACATTGAAGCCTCCTTCTTTACACAGCCAGGACCATTTTCACTCCACCATGATTGGTGCCGGGAAATGTTGAATGTCAATAGTTCACTGTCCTGAAGAGAAGAGTTGCAAAGAGATCTCCATTTACTACAAGAGCATCGGACATGCTGTCAGATGGAGGTCATATTAAATCAATGGAACCACTTTGCTAGTGATTCCTACACCTGCAAGTTTTGGGTATGGTAGATTAAATCTGGAAGAAAAACGTCAAGAAGGCAGCATTAAGTGTCTTGTCACAGAATCATGTGCAGTGGGTATGCTCTTCCCAGCACAGGTTCAACACTGAACTCAAGAACATGAACTTAATAACCCCAAAATGAGTTTCAAAACCCAACAGATCTTCCTCTGTTCTTAGCTTTTAGCACATCTAACAAGTTCCTGTACCATTTCTGTCCAGTTTCCTTCCACACTTGTCACATATGGTGCTTCTGCATCTCCTGTTGATCTTACACAGTCAGCCTCAGGTCACATTACCCAGCAGGGCAGACCTCAAGGTGATGATTGCAGCTTCTTGTAACCATTTCCCCAGCTGTTCCTTATCATCCCTACCCAGGGAGAGGCTCTTTGTGTTGCTCTTCTCATCTCTGCCAGTTGAATAATTTAAACCATGCCAACACGGGGGTTACACAGTGAAATGCCACAGGAGTTTGGCTTGCAAGCAGGTCATTGGAAAATGACAACACTTTCCTCACAACTGGGAAAAGAGCAGGACTGGCTGGAATACCTGGGAGAGCTTTTGTGTGCTTACAGGACATGGCAGAGCCCTCCCTGCAGACAGTAAAAGACAAACAGGCTGAACAGCTCGGCTGCATCACTTCACAGAGGAGTGCTAAGAGCTGGGTGCCTCACTAGTTCTCTTGGGTCACTTTGATGTGGAATCAAGGACCCCTTTTGTCCACAAAGCAAAGCCAGGGGTTGGAAGGTTGATTCTGAAGGATAGGTTATAAAATTCTATGTGTCTTTACAGAGTACAAATAGGTACTGGATATACACACCCTCTCTAACCATTGCTCCAAGCCCCATCCAGCCTGGCCTTGAACACTGCCAGGGATGGTAAGAAGCATCTCCCAGCCCAGCAGCAGTCAGAACCTGGGGTATTCACACTTCCTAACATGGGAAACAAACCTCATGTGGCAGCTCCCAGTAGAATCAAGAGGGAGAAACAGATTCAGAGCATCTGATCCAGGCTCCTGCTCCAAATTACCCCCTGCAGAGGACTTGGCTCTGCAGCCAGCACAGGGAACCTCTCCAGGTAGTCCTGCAGATGCACTCTGCTCAGTCCATGTTGGTATCCAGGGACAAGCTTGAGTTACAAGGGCAGAAAACCTGTGACTAGCAACCAACTGCCCCTCCTTATGCACATTGTGTAGGTGCCTCTGCTCCACCACAGCTACTCCAAACCACTTTGCAGAGCTGTGATTCAAATCTGCTGCAGGAAGCACATGCTAAGCAATGTGGACAATTAAGTGAGAAGGCAGCTGCCAAACTCCTGACACAATCAGCACAGCAGATGGGATGTGCTTTACACGGAGGAGGGCACAGAGATGAAGTGCGGCACCAGTGCAAAGGCAGCCTGAATTAGCAAAGACAATAGTGAGAACTCTGTTAGCAGTTGGGAGTTTAAAGGGAGCTGTGTGCATTTTAAAGGGGATCATTATTAGCTTAGCAGCTACAGGACAATGCACACAGTGCAAGGTGCTGCACCAGCTTCATTTCTGGAGACAGCTTCCCCTTCCAGCTTCTCCCGGTTTTGGCAGAGGAGCCTTTGGCTTGCCCCCTCTGCTGGCATCGCTCTTCCCTGGCCCACAGATCTCTCACATACCCACCAAATGCCATCTTTTCTGCAAAGCTCATTCTTTCTCTCCCAAGTTTGCATGTTCTGAGACACATGGATCTTCCCCAGCAAAAGCTTTTCCTCCTGGAGCCAGCCAGCTCCCCAGTCTGCTGTGTTCTTCTCCCTCTCACAAGCCAATTGGGTTATGGGAGACTCAATTCCTGTCTCTTTGCCTGGGGCTTCCCCCAATTAGCACAGAAAGCAAGCTGTTCCACAGGTCACTGCAGCATCTACTCTTAACCTCAGTCCCCAGGGCTTCCCTCTCCCAGCTCACAGATGGTGCCTTCCCAAACCTTCTGCTTCACTTATGCACAGAAACCCTTCCATGCCTTCTCGACTCCTCACAGAGGCATCCATGTGTATTTGGCAAAGTAAGAAACAGGCTGTTTTCCTTCCTGAACTTCCCTTTTGCCAGTCTTTATGGAATTGGCTCTGGGTTATCTTTGCTGCAGGAGCTGAACTTGCTTGGGAGTTAAGCCTGGAAAAGCAAAGCAAGTGCTGGGCTGGAGGTGGGCAAGTGGAGGAACAGTAGGTCCCAACCAGCATTTATGGCTTTTTACCTACAATCATGCTCCAGCTCTGCACAAACTTTGTATATATATATATACTTCAGAGTAGAATGGAAAAACTGAGCCCATTTGGATTCACACCCATGAGCCATCCATCTCACAGATGTAAAATGAACACTGATTGCACACTGCGGTTGTGGATGCCCTCAGGCCCACAGAGACACTGTCCTGAACAAGCATGTGGCTGGAGGACTGCAGGCACATGGATGGAAGGGTCTCAACAAGGCAAGCAATGCCATTCCTGGCTGGATGTCCTCAGGGGATACCTGTGCTGATGGGGTACAATAAAAGAGCATTCGGGGAGATCACTTCATGGACCTCCAGTTCCTCTTCAGTGTTTGCTGGGAGACTGGGAAAACAATGCCCAGTTGTCTCCTATGGTTTGCCAGCTTCCTTTGTTGGAGATGGTTGAAAACTGAAACTATGGAATAGACACACTGAGATCAGGAGAAAAGAACCCGTTGGAAGGAAGTTCAGGGAACAGCAGTTTCCCAACGCCTTTCTGCAACACATTTGAAGCCCAAGCCCACTATATCCTCCCCAAAGCAGGCGGAGGCTTGGGAGATGTTAATCAGTCCCAGAAGTGAGCAAGCCCTGCGGCTGGGAGAGTGTGATCCCTGTGTAGCTGTGCTCCCTCTGGTTTCTTGGCAGGCTATTTGCAGGGCTATCACTTCCTCCTTAACCTTCAGCCTGAAGAGAAACATGAGCAAAGAGGGCTATGAGCTCCTTCTCGGGAGCATGTTGAAATCACATATCCCTCTGAACTGCTGTAGCATCTGGTTGCCATCCATTTGCCAGCAACATGGGAAGGAAGACAGCAGCACTAAAACTGGAATACCTGCATTTTACAGAGCCTATTTTCCACTCCCAGCCTCATCCCACTATGTCCCAGGAGGAAACTCACACCTACCTCTGACACCCACAGAGCCAGTTGTGTTCCTTTGCTAAAACAGCTCTCTGAAAGCTGTTCTGAAATGATTTTCTAAGGGGCACCATCAGAGATGGGTTTGTTTCTTGGTGTTAACAGCCTTCTGAACCACCTCGCCCTGAACTGCCTTAGTTATATAAAGCAAGCCAGCACTGTAAGAGCTCTGGAAACAAACTGAACCCTGTATGGGTGCCCCCAGAGCCTGACAGCAAAATCATCTGAAATCTTTTCAGTTGGAAACATTTCTTATCATAATAGGAAAGAAAACATTTATCTTTCAGCCATGTGTTGAATAGCTGTACCGCCTGAGACAACAGAGCAGTGATTCCTTTGTCTCAGCAGGCTCAGTGACAAGGCCATGGCATTTAAAGGCCAAATCCCAGGCTTCCAGTGCCTAAATTTAGATGGAGTTGAGGGACAGTTGTAACTACACATGCATTTATCAGAGTACTTTCTCCAGGTACAAAGTCATCCCAAGATCCCGTCCATATCCTCTGGAATACAAACAACCCCTCACTTGACTAATAAGGGCTGCTTCCATCTCAAGAGAGGATTTTGACCACCACCATGGCTCTGGATTCAGATCAAAGCACTGTGTAGACAAGAGAGAATATAAAGGAAGGGTAAAAAAAAACCAAATCACCATTCCAAGATGAATAATTCCAGAAGGAAAGGACAAAGGAATACATTGAAATACGCAACACAAACCTCTCGGAATGTTTCTCAAGTCCACGATGCGGAGGCAGTCGCGTGGCAGCTGGACAGACAGATGCTCATATGTCTTAACAGTAGGATTTTAATAATGAACTCAGGCTGGGGGGTGCAGGGGGGACTGTTTCACACTCGAGTAGACAGGGGAAGCTTAACGTGTTATTTCAAGCACAGCCTAGAAACTTCAGAGAGAGCTCCCGACAATTCAGCTCACCAAATGGCCAGATGGATAAAGAGGGAACAGGAACAGAGCAGAGGAGGAGCAACATGGAAGTTCAGCTGTGAGCCCCAGCACGGAGCAGTGGTACAGCACTTCCAGAGAGCCTGCATTTCCCCCACATACTGCAAGTGTGCTCGGAAGCATGAGCAGAGCAAGGAAACACTGCCAAGAGCCACTTGGAGGCACATCCCCATCCCTCTGCCAGTGCTGAGCAGCAGCCCTTCAGATCCAGATTGCTGTAGCTCTTGCCTGATCATTGGCAAAGCACTCACAGGAAAGCTGACAATAGGCTACGTGCTTAGGGAGGCCCTTGCAGCAACAGGGAGGTGCTTGCTTAGACACTTAGGCTGATCCATTTGTCTTTGGCCACCTAATGAAGATCTGCTGTGCCAAACTTCATACTCCCTACTAGGAAAAGATTGCAAGCTAAAAGTGATAGGATAGAAAGATAGAAATCAGGTCAGTTTAGCTCTTTCAGGAAGTAGAGAACAGATTCATAGAATCAGAGAATTATAGAATAGTCAGGCTTGGAAAGGACCTTAAGATCATCCAGTTCCAACCCCCCTGCCATGGGCAGGGACACCTCACACTAAGCCATAGCACCCAAGGCTTCATCCAGCCTGGCCTTGAACATTGCCGGGGATGGAGCATTCACAACCTCCCTGGGCAACTCATTCCAGTGCCTCACCACCCTCACAGGAAAGAATTTCCTCCTTAGATCCAATCTAAACTTCCCCTGTTTCTGTTTGAACCCGTTACCCCCTGTCCTGTCGCTACAGTCCCTAATGAAGAGTCCCTCCCCAGCATCCCTATAGGCCCCCTTCAGATACTGGAAGCTGCTCTGAGGTCTCCACGCAGCCTTCTCTTCTCCAGGCTGAACAGCCCCAACTTTCTCAGCCTGGATTCACAGAGATTCACAGAGCATTTTCCCTTTCAATTACAGTAACTCGTGATAGTTATAACAAGTGGTTTTAACTTGAATTCTTTCTCCCCCCCAGCCTGAGTTCTGACCTGTCCTGGCTGCACTGGGCTGTCACCAGCCAAGTTAACAAACTCCATTCTTTCTAGCTCACTGCCATGCCTGCATTTGTCATTGTGAATTAGCTGGCTGCTGACAGAGACCTCCCCAGCAGGCTGCCCTTGTCAGGAGTACACAGGGGTGGGCGCAGGGCTGGTGGGAATGCTACTCCCCCATAGGCTCATCAGGAAGCACAGAGGAAACAGCAACCAAAGACCTTCCTCAGAGCCATCAGCCCCTTAAGGGACTGGCATGAGAACACAGCCCTGTCCAAACCTCTCCCCAGCGTATTCACTAGTCTAATAGCTTATGAGTTAGTGTTACCTGACCAGCTCCATCAGCCTCACTCCACCAAAGCTGCTCTTCTAACATGTGCGATCTGCCTGCTGACTGCCAGGTTAATCACAAGCTTTGACTCTGAGTTCCTGTTAGGAGCCAAAGGACAGCTTCATCCCATGGCCCCCGAGGGCACACAGAGGTTCCTCTCCTCTGCAGCACTGCTGCCGTAACCCCCTGGCTCATACTACTCTGCCCTTGCTCCCTCCAAGAGCCTGCCCAACACTTGCTCATCCAAGCCCAAGCGTCCTTCTGGGGTCTGATCCCAAGACCAAGATCAGTAAGACTCTGCCTTTGGATCAGGTTCCCAGAGATGTGGCAATGCTACCCCTGAGCCCAGCCTGCAAAGCACCAACTGTCCTACAGAAACCTGAATTCCTGTTTCAGGTGCATCTTTTGTTCTCATGTAGAAGTCAGGTTTTGTTTTGCCATTAAAAAGACCCAAATATCTTCATTTAAAGGGGTGAAGAGAAAGCAGCATCATGCTACAAGACAGCCTTTCTAAATGAAAGTAACTCAGTAGAACAGAGGCCAGGCTGTAAAACACAACTGCTCTGTTGTCTTTGCCAGCTGCCACCAAACTAACAGCATGAATTTCTCATTGCAGCTCTAGAAGGGAATCCACTGAGACAATAACAATGTACACTGCAGCCCAATTCTATTGCACAAAACAGTCCCCAGTCACAAGTGTCATCCGGTGGGGCTAAATAATGATTCTGTGATGTGCTGGCTTTGCTAAAACAAGCCACAGCACACAGTGAGGTTATGAGTTGAAGCTCCTCTGTAGTAGAGAAAGTGGGGTTTGCTGTGCTGTTTGAAGGGCAGAACAGCAACCAATGTGTTGTAGGGTAGGTTGGGGTTTGGGAACACAAGTGATCAGCTGGCTGGAAGCAAACCATGGGTGTCAGAGGAGCTCCCAGAGCAGGCTATCAAGCAAAAGGGAGGGTTTCAATAGTTACATAAAGTTCTTTCTCAGCTGGTCACAGCCACCACCGAGATGCTCTCAGGCTGAGCTTTTAGACCATCAGCAATCACTGTTTTGGGCAAGAACTCCTTTAAACTTCCCATGGATAATTGAGAGGGGAAATGGAGATTAATTGAGGATAAAAAAAAAACCATAGTGCAGTTCCAATTATGACTACAACTTGGATTTATGACCTTGGAATTTAGGCCAGATGTAGAGTGCTCCAAAATGAACCTGTAGCCTGTAATCACTCTGAGTCTGCTAAGCTCCAGCAACACTTGGTAATTCATTGCTTGCTTAATTTAGGGTGTGCCTCCCATTTGTATTATTTCTGGCTCAGCCCTCATTAAGCAGACAGCAATACCTGGCTTAGCCAGTCTTCAAAGATTCTTCACAGATTAACACACAGCACCCCTAGCCAACAGCCATGCATAAATACCTCTGGATTTAAGAAGGAAGAATTAAGACAGGGGAATCACATCACCTCGGAGGCTGCATCCAGAGGAGATGCACCACCCCTCCACTACCTCACAGCCAAACTCCATTGCCCTTGATGCTAACCCAGGCCACTCATCCACATCATATCTACTCACCTTTGAGAGCCCTCCCACTTCTAAGTAAAAACAGATGATGAAGATGTTCCAGGTGACCCAAACCGCAGTCCAGATGGCATACTAAAAAGGAAGCGGGGGGGACAGAGAGAAGCAGTAAACATCAGGAAGTCACTGGAATTAGTTTACCTATATGCGATCTTGCTGGGGCTTGTTAAATGCCCTGAGCCAGCACTGCAATCCTGCTCTTTTATTTGCTTCCTGTATCAGATGGTCCTTTGCCTGATTACAGATGCAGGGCTGGCGATTTGGAGGGCATGGAAGAGCTCCTGCCATGCATTTGTGCAGCATCTAGCAGTGTCTTGGTGTTACTTTGGTACCGCTAATAATTTTCCATGTTAGATGTAACTACAGTGGAAGTGCAGCGCAGTGAATGAACACAGTGAATGTTCCTGAGCACAGCCAGGCACCTCCTGCTGCTGTTTGCAGTGATCGTGCCTGGTTTCCCAAGGGCTTTACTCAGTTCCTCATCACATGCTGTATCCCATCACTGAAGGCTGTGTGAATGGCTCTGAACAGAACAGGCGTTACTTACCACCACGATGTAGCGAGGTCTGTATTGAATAGTGCCAAACAGGCCAAGGATAACGATGATGATGTGGAGGAAGTTGGCTAGGATAGGGGCCCACTGGTATCCCAGGAAATCGAACACTTGCCTCTCTAATGCAGCAAGCTGGAAGGGAGAAGGAAAAGGAGATTTACAGCTTCTGGACTCATGCTGTTTATTCTCAAGGTTGTGACAAGCTTCCTGAGCAAATCCCTGCAGCAACTGAAGATGTCACTCCATTCCAAAGCAATTTACTGCCTATGAACCAGGTCAGTAGGACAGAACATGCGTGTACATGTCCCCCCCTTCCACTTTGTACTCATCCCCTCTCCTCCAACAGGGATGCTAAGGCATCTAACTTAGTTCCAGTGTCCTGTGCACTTTGCAATGGGGAGGTGGCCCTGGCACTGGGCAGAGGTGAGCAGAGGGTTGATAACACTGAAATAGCAGCAATAAGACTTTCAAGAGCTCATTTGTCAGAGCCTTCAGCATCGCTCCATCATTCCTGACACCTCTCATGTTTCTGCTCTCCAGCATACATCCATCAAAGTCAGAGCAAGGAGGAAACTCTCTCCTCCACCTTCACCCCACAGAAAGTGCTGCCATCCAGTAAAGAAATTCTGCACACACATCAGTTTTCCAGGACAGGCCGTTTTGTTCTCCAGCCTAATACCATGTTCTAGAAATAAAACTCCATTGCTGTTAAAGTGCTGGCCCTGATTTTGAAATCCCATTTGCATGAAGATGTGGGTTTCAGCTGTAGCCATCATCGGCGCATCAGGCAACACCTGGGCACCGGATCTAAACCGCTGTGTTACACACACAGCTGAAACAGCATAAGAAACACGGAATTTCATTGTAGCCTTTACATCCCCACAGCCTTTAAATACCATGTCTATAGGAGGAACAGGGAGTAGAGGGGGCAAAACCATTCCTGTAGGTTTTCCCCAGTGCCCAGCCTTACACACAGAGATCTCCTTTTGCTTGTCTTCACTAGCACAGCACAGACAAGCAAACTTCATTGACCAGCCAGTGCTAAGGCACAGCAGGGGAGTTCTTTGCCAGGGTAAGATTTAAAGTGTGTTTAATTATCGGAGAAGCATAGAATCACAGAACAGTTTGGGTTGGAAGAGACTTTTAAAGGTCATCCAGTTCCAACCCCCTGCAATGAGCAGGGCAGTAGTCCTACGCTGAGATTGCATTATTACATTTCATATTTATTTTCACCTACAGAAATTATTACCATTTACCATCGATAGTCAATATTAATTTAACTACTAATTAGACATTAACCATGGGTGATCCCACTCTGCTGTGTGCAATCAGCTGTGGGACATCTTTCCCTGGCTTGACTTTTAAAGGGCAGCTGGGGAGCAAGCACTGGAGCTTCTGTAATGGCCTAAAGCATTTATGGATGCGAGTGGTTGCAGGTCCCAGTCAAGGCACATGATGAGGGAAGTCACATCTATTAAATGACCATTATTCCTCCTTCTTCCTAGATCAGTGGGGAAATCACCTTCAATCCTCTTTTGGGCTAGGAAGGTGTTGCAATTCTCAACAACACGTTGGAATTTCAACCAGAATCTGTATTTCAAAGACATCTATAGCAGCCTGGGCTAAGGGAGATCAATCAGGGCAGTGGGACACAGCTTTCCCTCTCTGACATCCATCTTCACAGGCAAAGGGAGGCAGAGAGAGCAAGGAGGGAATGGAGGCAGTCACCGCATCTCTTCTGCAAAGGAATTAGTTTTCCCTTTGAAGCAACACACACTGCCCTGTTCTGAGCCATTTGAACCAGCTGGAGGATGCTGTGAGATGTGCTGCACATCCACATGTGAGGCTGGAATGGGGTAAGCACTGCTCATTTCACCACCCGAACTGCTCTCTCCCCTGAGCACAGGAGAGCTGCTGTATCTCATCAGAAACAGCAGTAATAGGTTAAATGCTTAATCTCTCAGGGGGGGATTAAGGCACATACCTTAATGATATCTGGACATTTCGCCTCCAGACTGGCTGGCAATGGGTCACTTGGCTGTGACCGCTTCATCCCATCAGGCATCTAATTGGCTTTGTGCGTTATGTTAACATAGGAGTCTGTGCCCAAAAGCCAGCACCAGGAGCATCAGTTAGCTGGGGGGACACAATGAGGGTGTTCCACAGAGATAACACCCTGCGGTTGTCTGTGCTCAGCTTTGCTTCTGGCCTTTAGGCCCTGAAAAGAAGGATAAAGACAGATCCTTCCTACCCATGCCTTCTGCCATGTGTTTTCCCATTCCACAGTCAGGGCATCCATGTATGTGAGAAGTGTTTTCCTCTCACAAATGGATATTTGCCACCAGAGCCTCCTCAGTTTGGGGCTGGGATGTGAAGAATGTGGTGGTACTCTTCAGTTCTGATGCCTTCAGTCTGGCTCAGAAACGGCAGGGGCAGGGCTTGCCCTGCTGATGGGTATTGATACATCTGCACCCTCGTACTGAACCTCTCTTGGATCCCTCTTGTTGAGCAGGGAAATGCCATCTCTTGCTGCTGCTGCAAAGTCTCTGCAGAGTAATCCCTGTGCTGTAGCATTCTTTACGATGATTCACACCATTCCATTGAGAAAGCCTATTATAGTCTAGAGAGATTGGTTGTAAAGAGAAATTTCACAGATTGTGGCACAGGTTTCAACCCATCCAAACCTGACAGGCCCTTTCCATCAGGGAGGACACATTTTTCTTCTTTATGACTATTCTCATTAAAACCAGGATTCCTTCTGCTCCTTTTGCTTCTCCAGCCCATAGAACATTTTTACCTTTCATTCTTGAAATGATTTGTTGCGGTACTAAGCTCATAATAGTTGTGGCAGACTTCCCTCTCTTGAAATAAACCACGTTTCTGCTGATCTGAGTGAAACCACAATAGCAAAGAACCATGTGAAACAATTGTTAGCCAGGCAAACTGAACAAGGCAAAGCTCTCTGTTGGGCCATCATTCACTTATATGGCTGGGAAAGATAAGAAAGGCAGAGATGATGTTCTGCAGCTGACAGAGTGTATCGCTTAGCTCACAGTGAGCAAGGAAAGGCTTTGTAAGCCAACATGGCAGGACGTGCTCAACGTCTTTACACCATTAAAACTTCACCACAGGGGGAAGCTGTACCTGGGGAGGAGCGTTGCCTGATGGAGCCCATTGCAGAATAGGTAAATGGTCTTAGAAAAAATCTCAAAATTGAATCATAGAATCATAGAACAGTTTGGGTTGGAAAGGACCTTAAGATCATCCAGTTCCAACCCCCCTGCCATGGGCAGGGACACCTCACACTAAACCTTATCACCCAAGGCTCTATCCAACCCAGCCTTGAACACTGCCAGGGATGGAGCATTCACAACCTCCCTGGGCAGCCCATTCCGGTGCCTCAGCACCCTCACAGGAAAGAATTTCCTCCTTAGATCCAATCTAAACTTCCCCTGTTTCAGTTTGAACCCGTTACCCCTTGTCCTGTCACTGCAGTCCCTAATGAAGAGTCCCTCCCCAGCAGCCCTATAGGCCCCCTTCAGATACTGGAAGCTGCTCTGAGGTCTCCACGCAGCCTTCTCTTCTCCAGGCTGAACAGCCCCAACTTTCTCAGCCTGTCTTCATACGGGAGGTGCTCCAGCCCCTGAGCATCCTCATGGCCTCCTCTGGACTTGTTCCAACAGTTCCATGTCCTTTTTATGTTGAGGGCGCCAGAACTGCACACAATACTCCCAGTGAGGTCTCAAATACTCCAAGAGAGGTCTCAAATACTCCAAGTGAGGTCTTGTGGATGTGGAACAGTTTCTTGTAGGGGGGTTCAAACCATCCCAGTTGTGTTTCCCATGGCTCTGGAAGGACAGTGTCACTGTTGTCCCCAGCAGGACATTCTGAGTGGATTCAACTAGGGTGTTTGTGTGAATTCTGGCCCCTCAAGTGTTTTCTATCCCCTCATCTTTGTCTCCTATCATGCTGCTAAGGTGAAGAGTTCAACCCATTGCCCTTGTGCCTCCATACTGCTAAGGAAGAGGGATGCTAACAAACAAGTCTGCTGCCTGCAGTTCTTTACCTCCCTGTCCTTTACAGCCCACTATCAAGGCCATGTTATCAGCTAGATTTGCTCTTCTTAGTTTATTAAGCTTTCAAAGCCTTTAATCTTATTTGGTTTGGATCTGTGTCTTTCACTGCAGTTCTGAAATCAATTGGGACACAGAATAACAAATATCACTCTAGATATTGACATGCCTTGGACAGATGCAGGACGGATGCTCAGAAAGCCCAGGCACAGGTACAGATAGGCAAAGAAGATGTCCTGCCTACCTGCACACACATCCATGTGCAAGCAAACCTGCTTTTACCCTTTCCAAGCTCAGCTTTAATAAGGGATTCCTTAGAAACAAGTTTTCAAGGGTGGAATAAAAGGAGTAAATGGGAAAGGCTGCACCTATTGCAAAAAAAAAAAGAAAGAAGAATAAGAAAAACTCTTTTACCCCAAAACTGATGCAATTTTCCACTTGGCCTATAAAAACCCAACTTGAAAACTCTTTTGCTCTTCCTTGCCTGTCCCTGCTCTAAGGACACATACCCTCACTGCTCCAGCTCCTGCACTGCCCTTGTTCAGTGGCATACACAGCACGGACAAGATGTGCAGCTTAACCCCCTGTATTTACTGCCTCTGTAGCCTGAACTGAGGAAGAGCCTCAGCTCCAGCCCTTGGTCACCACCACGCTCCCATGATGCTGCTTCCCGATGCCTTGATTCAGCGTTTGATTTCCTGCCAACTGGCTTTGCTTTTTAAGAAGATGCTCTTTGTCTGTGTCCTGTGCAAACACCATCGGAGCAGCCAAGACTTTCCCTGAAAGAGGTCACGGGGCTTTTCTTGAGGAAAAGCTTGCATTCATTTCCCGAGGTATTTTGGCCGTGCAATGGATGCTGGCTTGAGCTCAGGACAGTCACAGTGCTCTTATTCCTATGAGACATCATCTAAGGATGAAGTTTAAATCCTGCTGGTTGAAACAGCAGGAAGAAATGAAAAAGTCTCAAGTGCATCATTTAAAAACTGTATCTATTTAGGTTTTGAACACAAATATCTTTGCTTTTGGTTCTTCCATACAGTTAAAGTTTGGCCATACCCA